TGGACAGATGAAGGGGATGAAACAGAGAAGGAAAAGGAAAGGGGGAGAGGAAAAGACTGTGCAAAATTATGTCTAGAAAAGACAATATTAATCAATTTTCATATGTTTAATTCAATGTGTCACTGATAATGAAAATCTAAAACCTTATTGATTATTTTATTAAAAGAGCACATTCATATTTGTAAATTAGCACATGACACATTGTCTTCATCTGGAAACATCAAGAATCCTTGACATTTAACATGGCAGTGATAGGCAATATGTTTCAGTATATGTACCTAAAGGGAACCTGGTTCAGTTTCATTGCGCACCAATTTGTGTTAAAGGTAAAACATAAGGAATCTATCCCCAAACTCTAAAATTAATCACTTAAAAAGCACAGTCTACATACATTTCAATTATTAAACCCACTGTGGCCCTTGTCACTTTAGGTGCCAGTTTTGAAATCTCACTATATTTTCATAGTAAAACATAGGAATCTGCAGTCACTGATTTTTCATTTCATTCTTATTAGCCAATAGGCTGAGTTTCCCTTACAAGCCAATCATAAGCCTCCTTGTGACCTTGCTCTAGCAAAAGTTTTCCAACCTTGTCCCGACATTCCGCATGGTATCTGTTCAGCCAATCAATCTGTAAAGAACAAGCGCACTTGGTCATACAATATAAAGAGAGAGAGAGCACAAGGGAGAGAACAAGAGGTTAAGAGAGAGAGAGAGAGAGAGAGAGAGAGAGAGAGAGAGAGAGAGAGAGAGAGAGAGAGAGAGAGAGAGAGAGAGAGAGAGAGAGAGAGAGAGAAGAGAGCAAGAGAGCAAGAGAGCAAGAGAGCAAGAGAGCAAGAGAGCAAGAGAGCAAGAGAGCAAGAGAGCAAGAGAGCAAGAGAGAGAGAGAGAGAGAGAGAGAGAGAGAGAGAGAGAGAGAGAGAGAGAGAGAGAGAGAGAGAGAGAGAGAGAGAGAGAGAGAGAGAGAGAGAGAGAGAGAAGGAGGGAGGAGGGAAAAAGCAAGAGAGAGAGGGAGAAAGAGGGAGAGAGAGAGAGGGGGAGAAGGGGGGGAGGTGATCAGGAGAGGGAGGGAGGGAGGGAGGGAGCAAGGAAGGAAGGGAGAGAGCAAGGAAGAGAGGGAGGAAGAGGGAGAGGGAGGGAGAGGGAGGGAGAGGGAAAGGGAGGGAGGGAGGGAGGGAGGGAGAGAAACATTCTTATAGTTGTCTAAAGAACAAAACCCATGATACTTATATCTCATTTAAAATATATATACATATACAAAATATAATAAAAGAAAATGCTCTTATTGTCATGTTATTCACCTCTTGTCTTGTCAGCATGGTCGGATCCACCAGTTTTGTCTGAATTGGGACAAGAGTGACTGTCTTAAAGGTGAGGAACCCTCGATCACGATGGTTGTGTGGAGTTTCAGCTTTCACAATGCGAACAATATTTCAATACGAATGCCAAATTTTCCATCCTCATAGTAGCCAGGTTCTGGTGTAGGAAGAGATATCTTTTAGCAACATAAGCATGGTATAAAGTTATAAAAGGGTCAAATTACTTTACAGAGAACAGGTACTATCTAATAGCAAGAGCTATCATCATAACACATTTGTCTTTACATACCATCAGAGAGGAACATGCCTTCTTGCAGACCTGGGTCATCTGGGTATGACCGCCATGACACACCCATTGGCCCCTCGTGCACATTCAGGTACATGCCAATCCCATGCCCTGTTCCATGCCCATAGTCTAGGCCGACATCCCAAAGGGCCTTGCGGGCAAGGGTGTCTAAACAGTTACCCTGGAGGGATACAGAATGCCAGTGATGTAGAAGGACACTAGATGTATATAATAAAATTTTTGTAACAGAATAAGAAAGAAAATAAAACACTATAGAGGTTATTTATATGATTATAGGATAACAAAAATATTGATAGAAAATAGTTAGGAAAGGAGATAACAGTTAGCAGATTCATAATGAACAGGTTGTGGGTAAACATTTTTCAAACTTGGCAATCTCACTAAGGTAAATAAATACTTCCTAATATTTTTAACGACAATCTTTGTACTCCTAAAATTTATGTATATTCTATAATTCCTAAACTAAACAATGCTCAATTTGAGCTTCTTTTAAAATACAAAGATTTTTTTTTTTTTTTTTTTTTTTGTTTATTTACAGAAAATTTATAGGAATAATGCTAAATTATTTTCCAAGGAGTAACAAATACATCAGTACTGAAATCCTTTCATATTTAAAAAAAGAAACTTCACACATATTCACCTTGATTTTGGTGGGGAAGATGCAGGATGCCATGGCAATTTGCCCCTTCAGGACACGAGTGAAACACTCCTGCAAAAACTGGTCAGGTGTGCCAAAATGGAGGGTTCTTGTAACATCTGTTGTTCCATCCCTGTATATATATATTATGTTAAAAAGATGGCAAATGACAAGAAGATAAGGAGGGAAAGAGGCTAAAAAGGAAATTAATGTCTGACATGGTTGAGGAGTAAAAAGAAAATAATTTTCTTATTTTGGCTAACTGTTAACCCAATTGTCTCGGATTTATGTTCTGTCCCCTCTATTTTTTTGTGAATATTGTTCCATACAGATGGCTCCACATGTACTCAGCCGCCAAGGAGTCTATCAGTAGGCCCTTGTGACCAATCCCGATTTCCCCATTCCTTTAATTGGCGAGCAAATGTGTTTTTCTTATTAACCCATTGCCGCCAGGGAAAATGGAAAAAAAATTGGGAAAATGCTGTGCCTATTTTCTATATTTTTTTGTGAAATGTCTGCCCATAGATGGCTCTGTTAGTGCCTGATTTAAAATGGTGGGAAAAACGTATTTTTCACTAGTGCCATGAATATCGATGGTGTAATTTCTATTATAACCATAATAATCATTATGTTTTTTAACATTAGTAAAATAAGATAACGTAAAATATTTCGTAAATCAAAGAAAAGGGTAAATGGGCGAGACAGACAGTACTCGTAATTGGCTCATTGGTGATTTAGTACAAGTGCAGCCATCTATGTGTAAAAACAATCAAACAAGTAATCTCACAGTGGGCATGGCATGGCATGCCCGTCGGCAATGGGTTAATACAGTTGATATCGATACTGTTATTACTGTTACTGATGCTATGATTATCAAATTGTTATTAAAATGTTGACAACATTTGAAACAATGAAATAATGCTAGAGACCCTTTCCAAAAGTCAAAGAAAAGGGTAAACAGGTGAGATAGGAAGGATTAATAACTGACTACTTGGTGACTAAGCACTTGTAGAACCATCTGTGTGTAAATACAATAAATAAACTTGTATTACAGTGGGTATGGTATGTATTCTTGCCATACATGCCGAATGGGTTATTCCCTTGCTGCATATTAATAAACTTCAACATACACAATAGTGTTTTTTTTCTTAACCTATAAATGTAAAGAGTAAAGCAATGAAAATGTTACCTACTTATACTGTCCCCCAGAATCGCAGAGATAAACCTCATCAGTAGTAATCTTTCGGTCAGTTTCAGGGGCCGGAGAATAGTGGATTACTGCAGCATTGGGTCCAACTGATGAGATAGTAGAGAAACTGAGACCAACTAAGTTCTCCTGTTCTCTGTTGCAGAAGATGGGGAAAAAATCATGAGAACTGATGTTGTTGCAGAGCTATATGACTGTGTGAGTGCTTATATTCAGCTCTGATCTCGGTACTAGCAACAGTCACTGTTAATGTTACCTGAGGACAGTTATATATCTTGAATTGTATTGCCCTTGCAGAAAAGGGATCTATCTTTGTTAAAAAGATCAAGTTTTAAAATGCTTGCTGATGAATTCAAAACCTTGGGCAGAAAAATGAAATGGTTAACTGTGATACAAATATAATGGAAGGAAATTTGCGAGTTATATATAGTAAAATGCCCATAAAAATATATATACTGTGCAATGAAATGAAGCAACACCTGGATAATCAAACTGATGATAGAAAAAAACATGAAACAGGATCTTACTCTCTAAATTTTTGAAGCTGGTCAGCTGCAGATATTTCAGTCTGAGTTCCTTTTGCAGCCTCCTTTTCAAGCCAAGAGAAATAAAGGCACAGTGCAGCTGCATCACGAATATGACACTCCTCCATTCCTGTAAACGGAAAAAGTCATTGTGATTATTTAAAATTCTCATCTCCAAAAATAAAGTAAGATATCAGGAACTGCTTCTTTGGACAATAATGCAAATTTTGAATATTAAATAATTTACACAAACTATATATTACCTGAAGGACATCTAGCGCTTACAAAGCAATAAGACCTTTCCATTAGCAATAACAGCAAGTGATGCTTCGACAAGATGAACGTCATGACTAAATCATCACCCACAGTTAACAGTCTTACAATAAATATATGTTCCTGGATAGTCCATGCTCAAGCCTTCTTGAGACAAAGGGAAAGAAGAATAAGCAATCACTGCTACATGGTAACTTCATTCCCAATCTAACCTATTCTTGTCTATGAGAATGTCCAAGGTACCAAGTTTTCTTAAAAGTTTCACTAATTTTCACTAGCAGCAAAAATCATAATTCCCTGATGTGCAAAAACTAACTATAACCAAATTCAATCCCTTGTATTAATGAAAGTAAGTAAATATACACTGGAGGTAAATTATGGAGTGTAAAAATATTCTGGCTGCTTACCTTTGATCTCAGTATCATTCTTGATAGCTTTCATTATTGCTACTGGTGATAATTTTATCAACCTCTTTTCCTTAGGCACCATTTGAGTTACAGCATAAGAAGTGTGATTGGACACCCAAACCTTGCCACTCTGCACTGGGAGCTGCAATTCAAAATGAAAAATAAAATGTCTCTACTTGAATGTAGTAACATACTGACTATTGTATTCTCTGAATCATTCAACTGCTATAGAGGTTTAGTAATCAATATGGATAAAAAGCTTTGAGAAGCACTTAAATACACCATCCTTACCTGTTCACTAATAAACATAGCAAGTTCATCATATGG